TTCAATGAATGACCCCTCATTTTAAAGATAACATACTCAGGTATATGAAAATACCAATAACTTGAATTTCAAATTTTGCTACAACTTAGCCATTTTGCCACAACATGCCTCATATGTATACTAAGCCTGAAGGTGGCGCTTTAATACGACGGCCATCTTGGATGGTATCAGGAGGGAAAACAGTGCAAGGTAAAAATGAAGCAAGCAACAGATAATATACGGACAAGTAAAAACATTTGCGGACAACCAAAGTTTCCATTTAGGTTGTCCGCCGGACAACTTTAAGTATTTCCTTATTTCGAACACTGCTATGATAAGTACATAAAGTTATGAAAAAAAAATAATAATAAAGGAAATAAACAAATTAATAATAATCTACAATTATACACACATGCCGATTGTGGCTCCAGAAATTTGTCGACAGGGGGTCTGACTCAAGAGGCCGACTAGAGCCTCGGTGGTCAGGGACCTGGCACAACAATCCTGATAGGGTTTGAGGGGGGGGGGGTATCTTAGAATTATACGATACTTATCCTTAATTTAATTTTATTTCTAATTTTAACTGATAGCCATGCTTTCATGTGTGTTTTCTACAGCCTTGTTGTCTTCCAATATTTAATATCACAAATGAAGCTCATTCCTTTCAAATGTGCAGTATGCTGTTCTTTGGTAACACAGAGATTTGGACTGGGTTTCGGAATACTGAGTTTTGGCAAACTGGGATTTCATGATTTCAGTGAACTGGATTGGGCATTCTGGGTTTCGGCAAAATGAGTTTCTACAAACTGGGATGGATTTCATGATTTCAGTGAACAACTGGATTTCGACAAACTGGTCGGATGAATGTAGGTAAGAATGGCCCCGGAAAAAATGGCCCCAGAAAAAATGGCCCCGGAAAAAAATGGCCGCGGAAAAAATGGCCCCGGTAAAAATGGCCTCATATGACAGGTAGGTAAAAATGGCCCCAATGAAAAATTCGGTAATATAAATGATATAAATTTTTTTTAAATCTTCAAATATTTAAATACTGTATAAGCGAGAATTGAATCAAGAAATAAATAATGGCCCTCAATTATAAAATTCAAGAAAAAAAATTAATAATAAATAAATAAATAAATGCTGTAAAGTACCCTGTAGCAAAAATTTAATTAATAAACCAACATAATGAATATGCATATTTGAGAACTAAAATAAATTAGTTTTTGTTACAATACTGTAACTTACAAAGCAACTTAAAAAAAATAGTAACATTGCATGCGTTAAAAAAGATGCTGTTAAATTAGTATTAGAAACTTTTTAGTAGGAATACATATATACAGTACAATAAAATGTACAATAGTCAGCGAGTTCGTCCAAATAAGGTATAAAAAAAGTCTCGCCTTGGGTAGCATCTTTTTAAAGAAAATCATTAATTTCATTAAAAAAACACAAGTTACTGATTGATTAAATAATTCTATTTTAAATAAGAAATGATTATGCACAGTAAAGGTAACATAGGACAACAATTAAAAGATCATGATATTAGTGCTGCTGAAACTGTTAATTATTTCAAGGTTTTATCTAAGTGCAAATCCAAGTTTGATTGCTTAATTAAAGAAATGCTTTGGATAAAAGAACTGAAACCTACACTTAACAAACAAACTGATTCAGTCAAGGCCAAACTTTTTATCTAGTTAATCTGCTAAGAAGGGCTAATTATTGCTTAGCTCCACTGTGGCTCCACACACAGTAGGCCCTATTGATATGTAAATTAATTACTTACTTCCTGTCACTGCTTGGTATT